TATGCGCGAGGACTCCGGATGTTTCACGCGTGAAGCAACAGCGTCGCCGGGACCAATAGCATCGAGGAGGGAGCCAGAAATTAGAATACACAAAAGATACAGTATGGGCCAAAATATGGTTAGTATAATTCAACACATAACGCGAGCCTTTGAACGGAGAAAGTGCCTTGACTCCTTTGAGGTAGACTGAAGCGATAGTGGACCGGCTCGCGCAGAAATACACGAACCGGATTTCGAAAGCGGAAGATTAGAAGCGAGAGGTCAATTAAGTTGCCGATTGCATGTGGGAGACAAGTATGAACAGTCTTCCTTGAGTTTTCCCCTGAGCCGAGCCAATAATGTGCGTTAGTGACTGGTAGCTTCCATACAAATTAAGCTGGAAGCTGGAAGCATGATCCATCTTGGTAGACATCCAGAGCATAAAGATGTCTGATCAGAGAAATCTTAGGCTGGCCATAGTGAAACCAAGGCATTGACATGGCAAGCCGCACATAGAATTCGGTGTGTCAACAAGAACGTGGACAGTCTTATGAGGCTAACTTAAGAATTTCCAATTCAGCCTTGTAATGTCCAAGTGTGTCAGAGGATCGAATCCGCTGGGGTAGCCTAGGCTCCAGAGAATTGATGGGATTTCCAGAGCGCCGGAGTTTCCGGCTCTCGCGTAGAATAATCCGGCCCCGATGGTCTCGTAACTGCCGTTGGGTTGCGTAAGTGGTTCACCTGCTCCGACGCCGCCCCGACTGTTCTGGCTCGCAGCTCGCTCATTCACCTCGCCCGCATCGGGACACTCAACGCCAGGATCCCCTTGTGTCTTTAGTCGCGCCTTTCTTATGGGATGTTCCACCCGGAAAAAGCAGAGGGAAAATAAAAATTCCCGCTCCTGTATGCCTCCGATGACTCGAACCACTCCTCCCATTGATAGCTCGTGCGCGTGATTAATCGATTATCAATTAAACGGTATGGGGATTACACCATTAGTCAGCGAAGGCTTTCTGCGTTTGCTATGGGGTTGAGATGTAGGTAGTAATAAACTCGCTTCACAACTACAAACATCATAATGTTGTGGTGATTCACTTTGCTTCACCCGCTGAACGCGTACGCAGTGCATTTCCCACTCAAAATTAAAGGTGGAGGCGGAAAGTCAACCGTTCATGTCTCTCTTATGTAATTTACTAGCAGGGACCCGTGCTCCGCAACGGTAGTTGTGGTCTGACAGTCAAGAAAATAGCAGTGCCTCAGCTGTTCCACTGAATCCCCAAAGCACTGAAGTACAGAAGTCAGGAGTTCAATGTTGTATTAATACACCACTCGTCGCCAACCTTCGGTTGGCTCCTCGTGGCTCCCGTGTCAGGTTTCAGAAGGATAAGGAAAATAGCAATGCCTCAGCTGTTCCACTGAATCCCTGAAGCATTGAAGTACAGAAGTCGGGAGCTCAATGTTGTATTCAAGTTGATACACCACTCATCGCCAACCTTCGGTTGGCTCCTCGTGGCTCCCCTGTCAGGTTTCAGATGGATATTTAAGAATGTTATACATTTCAGGCATTGAGAATGAGAATGCATGTTTGACTGGAGATCACAGTCAGAATTAGTTCGCCACTTGCTGCCAATCTTCGGTTAGCACCTCGTGGTTCCCGTGGCATTTTCCACGTCTCAACTGATTGACTGCTTATGTGTTACGTATATTGAAAGAAACAGGGAACTCATTAATTTCAACATGGTAAATCAAAGAAAATTAGCAGGATACAGGCGCGACATTCTATCCCGATAACTTTCGCCCTGATGCCTTGAAAATCTGTCAATATTGAGGTCAAGGATTCTTCTGAGAGAGTCAGTCAAGTCTGTGTGTCGTGTTGGCATGCGGGCGCAGATGTTTGCGGCAGGTAACTCACCACAATCCGGATTTGCTGCAAGGGATTTTTGTGCCTTCTCTACTCGCCTCCGGAACCTCTGGGCCCGAGACCGAACAGTATGCGTAGAGTCCGATGATCGGTCCTTGCATAAAAGATCATGCTCCATCACGGCTGCCAATTCTCGCTGTCGTCGTGCTTTTTGAGCTTCAGATCGTCGGTAACTGGCCAATTCGGAAGTCTTGAACTCGTGAGTCATAGTCTGGATCATATACAATTTAAATCACCTCTGGCTTGTAATTTTCCCGGGCTTCCTTCTCTCGACGCCGTTTTTGGCCAAGTGAACGTCGACTCATGGAGTTTGAGGTCCTAATAATGGTTAAATTAGCAGATATCAAGAAGAGACTAAACCGTACGTGGGGGATCTCGTCCTCGACGCGTCGTGGGGAAGAAAGTCGCGTGTGGTTGTCGGCTATAAATATAAATAGAATCCGTGTAAATAGACAGCAATGAGGGATATCGTGTTGCTCACCTGAAGAACAAAGGGTTCTAGTTGCATTTGAGACTCTGCCTTCGGAAGTAGACGACGTAAGGGCTGCGCCATAGCGGAGAAGAGAGAAAGCGCGTCCAGTCACACCTTGTCACGTCCCATTCAGGATTGACGTGGGATTCCGCAGTCGTTGCATCAGCAGCTGACCCGTTGAGCAGCCAATCAGGTTATCGGAATGTTTATGTTGTCTTGTGTCAGGGAGACACGTCCGCTCTCTTTTGTATAATAGATAGATTTGCCTTTTGCTTTAATCCCCCCTTCGCGAATGGACTCAATATAGTTCGATAAAAGACCATACAGACAGCCAAATGGAGAGACGAGGCATCAGAGGAAGAGTTGAACGTCATCACAATTAAACCCAGCGTCTGAGAGACATGGATCACGGAAAGAAGATGGAAAGGTACTAGATACGAGGTCAGCCTGCGCAGAACTACTAGATGGAACGAAGCATACCACTTGCTGGACGGAAGCGCCGCTGTAAAACGCGGAGTAGGTGGCGGGATTGGGAGTCGCCAGGACTAGAAGAGAGAGAGAGGTTAGACAGGCCGCGTTGTTTGTTCGATGGTATACATACGCCGGTTGAACGTGTTGTCCTGCACAACGGGGAGCCCCGTGAGCATACCTCCACGAAAGTCAGTCAGAGCAAAAGGGAAGGGCGACGGGGCACTCACTGCCATTGGGGTTCTCTGCAGAGATTCTACTGTCAGTGCCCGGACGACAAGTGAGGATGGTGTACTTACTCCAAGCAGGGAGCAACACCTGGCGCCCGAACGCATTACCCAAAGCAAAGACCATGTTTTCACCACAGAACGTCTTCAGATTTCCGTAGCCTCCTTGAAGAGTGGTCTTCGTGTTCCAGGGAACGGGAATACGCCATCTGACAACGGTTTGAATATCAATGTTGTCTGTACCGACCAGCATTGAAAGCGCACGAGGATTTCCGTCGGCAGCGGCGATAGCTGCCCAGGGGGCAGAGCCAGTAAAGGCTGCAGTGGTGCAGTCGGTTACGCCGGCGACGAGGGATATGTATCTCGCGCCTGAATCAATGGGATTCAGGATCCTAGATATCGCCTTCAGGGTGAAAACCATATACAGGTCTAAGTTCACTCACTCGATGTATACGGGACCGCCGTCATTGCACGCGTTGCTGAACGTGGCGACGGACAGGTATTTGGATCTATCTCCAGTCCTGGAAAGAGCTTTGAGAGATCAGTCGTGCACTTTGCACTTCCATAATACTCCAGAGAGACTTACTGAATATTCCCGAATCACCGAGGACTTGGGCCTGCGAATGTCGCCAGTTAGACGACGACAGCTGAAATCAGACTATATTGCACTGACGACGGCTCCGACGAAGCTTCCGCTGTTAGCATCGTATTCCCCAAGATACCCGGAATTCCTGGGGCGGACGCAAGGTCAACTTATGGATCGCGAGGGAGGGTATGTACTCACTGCAGACACGCCCCTTGCGCTCGAGCGCCGGAGAACGAGGTTACAGCGGCGATTGCTAGCAAATAAGGGCAGGGAAGGAGAACATTGTGGGAGTGGGCTTGAGACTTGGTTGAGATTCTGAGTCCGTGGTATTCCAGCGACCACCTTTTGTACTTCTTGGACAACGGTCTGCGCCGAAATCCAGGCCTGCGATCCCTCAGGCGGTTTGGAACCTCCGGTGCTAAGGCAAGGAGAAGCGAAATCAAACTGCCCTGAAAAACGTACCGAAGTGACTAGCGAGAGACAATATCCGCATCAGGGGCAGCAGAATTCCAGGCGGTTGTGCAAGCCTGGAGCCAAGCGCAAGCGACTGAATCAAAGGTCAAAGTTTGCCCTGAAAAACGAATATCGCAGGCAATATACCAGCTCCGAGATGACAACAGTATCCACATGAGGCCCAGGAGGATCTTACTGCTTTGTACATTGGACAAAGAGTCAAAGTGGAAGTCCCTCGTTCGACCCGAGGTTAGGTTGTTTGTATTCTTCGCAGCCGCTTTTTTCTTTCTTTTTCACTCAACCCACAACCAACGATGGGGTGGAAGTGTGAGAAGAGGGAGGGGCGAGAGAAGAAAGCGAGGCGGGGCGGACGGAGGAGGAGATGCGGAGAAGATGGGAGGAGAATATGAGCGAGAGATAACGAAGGCGAGCCGGAGCGCACGCGCCGAATACACGAAGGAATAAAACGAATTTATTCGAAAATTTGCGTGTCGCCCGTGGTCGCGATACACCCGCTCTACGGCGGCTCCGTCCACGCGGGCGTCGACATGCCAAAGGCAGTGTGTGCTGCGCCGACATCTTGATTCCTCACAGTCAGTCAAGATTGCAACTCCGATTCTGCCTTCGACTTGCAGTGTCAAGTGTGGGTCATCTTCTCCTAGTAGTAATAGTGGTAGTGGTGGTATTCCGGCCAGTTCCCCAGATCGACCGTCCTGATTCCGGTCGCGCCGTCGTAGAGGGTGTCAGTGCAGGAAGAGAAACTGGCGGGATTATGTCAGCTCCACCGGCTTGCCTCCGCCACCAAGCCCAATCGAAGTCTTTTTTTTTTCATTCAACCCACCCAAAAATCTGAAATAGTCCGGTATAAAGCAAGGTTCAGGTTTATAGGAGGAAGACCTAATAGCGAAGTCGGTATCGCATCCACTCCCCATTCCATTGCGATTATGTCTGTGGAGGTCCCTCGTTCGAGCCGAGGTTAGGTCATACTGCGTCTATAATATGGCTTTTTGTTTTATTCAACTCACACCAAAAATCTGAAATAGTCCGGTATAAAGCAAGGTTTCGGTTTATAGGGGGAATACCTAATAGCGAAATCGGCATCGCATCCACTACCGCTGGGATAAATCCAAATTAGGGTTTCTATGGAAGTCCCTCGTTCGAACCGAGGTTAGGTCATACTGCTTCTATGGATTTTTTTTTTATTCAGCTCACACCAAAAGTCTGAAATAGTCCGGTATCAAGCAAGGTTCAGGCTTATAGGAGGAAGACCTAATAGCGAAATCGGCATCGCATCCATTACCATTCAGAGGGAGTGTATCGTGGTTCCCTCGTTCGAACCGAAGTTAGGTCATCAACCAGCTCTGCTGTTTTTTTTTCCTCCCAAACACAAAAAGCTCCCGAAATAATCACATACCTATCCAAGGGCAGGTAAAAGGGAGGAAGACCTAATAGCAAAAATGACATCGCACCCACTGCACTTGTGCTTGCAATTCATTGCATATGGGGGAGTCCCTCGTTCGACCCGAGGTTAGGTCCTGTGTCCACCGCTTGTTTTTTCTTTTCTTTTTCAACCCGAAAAGGCCGAAATAGTCAAACACCTATCCAAGGGCAGGGTAAAGGGGCTGAAGACCTGATAGCGAAATTGGTATCGCATCCACCCCAGTTATTGTTGGACAGGAGGTGAAGTGGAAGGCTGAGGTTAGGTCATGTCCCGTGTTTTTATATCCAGAAATAATTTTGCACTACTTTTGGTTTGACTAGAAGGGAATAGTACCTAATAGCGAAATCGGTATCGCATCCACTCCCCATTCGTACGTAATACTATGTATCGCCATTGCATTATATGGAAGCTCGTTCAAATAGAGGTTAGGTCTTGAAGTCACGGCTGCTAGCACTTTTTTTATCAAAGACATACAGCAGTAAACCAGGTGCAGAATTGCACCAGGAAGACCTAATAGCGAAATTGGCATCGCATCCACTCTGTTTAGGGGACAATACTAGTAATGGCCTTCATGTGGAAGTCCCTCGTTCAAATCGAGGTTAAGTCATGGTAGTGTTCCGACATCCCTTTTTGATTCAACCCACACAAAAGTGCGAAATATTTCCGCACTACTTTAGGTTTGATCAGTGGGTAGGAAGACCTAATAGCGAAATCGGCATTGCGTCCACTTGAATTAGCGGGTGAATATTTCATCATGTAGAAGTCCCTCGTTCGAACCGAGGTCAGGCATGGCCACTTGCTCCAGGATTTTTTTCCTGGTTTTTTACAACCAGTTTGTGGATTAAAAGAATTTGGAAAACATACAGAGCCTTAGAATTTGCGTAGCTACAAGACTGTCCCTTCAGAATTTTGAACAAAGAAACTTTGTCCGTTCATACTACAAAAAATATGACGAAGTCTTCATAGAACGGTCGGCAATCTCCGATTGTATCCAGTCGCCGATCCAATGATTATTGGTCAAACAGCTACTCTATCCTTGATGTGTGCAATCTCTTTTTTCACCTCATACCAAAAAAAAAATCTCGCTGTAATGTGGCGCAGAAATATAGGAACAAGACCTAATAGCGAAAATGGCACTGTGTCCACAGTCCACTGTCATTGAAAGAAATCGCAAGCCGTTATGGAAGCCCCTCGTTTGACCCGAGGTCAGGTCAGCTGCTTGACCTTTTCTCTCTCTCTTCCCCTTCAAAATTTGCAGTGAGGCCTAATAAGTAATGAAAATGCCACCGCATCCCCGCTCGGTTCAAGTACACTGAGATATGTCACCCGTCGTTCAATCCGAAGTTAAGTCGTGAGTAGCGCGTCGAATCCTTCTATCTTTCAGCCCACCGAAAAGCCTGAAATAAATCCGCACCCTTAAGTGTAGGGCATGTGAAATTCCCTCGTTCGATTGAGGTTAGGTCATTGTCCATGTCTCACATTTCTGTCCTTCTCCCTCAAGATTTTGCAGTAATTGATGTTAGGGAAGAAAGGCGAAAGACCTAGTCCACGGGGAATAACGACGCCAGCGGATGCGGGTCGAAGTTCCCGTTCGATAAGGCTCCAACCATTTCCGTTTGGAAACGGTTACGAACGATTAAAACCGTTTTTATTTCCGTTTCGTTTGTGGGGCTTGACAAACGGTTCCAGAAACGGTTTGCAAACGGTTTGCGCCGCCTCAATTTAAAGGTACCAATTGAAGTATTAACCCGTCTCCAACATCCTCCCATGGTGCGAAGAAATAGTTAGTTCTAATAATAATAAAATGCCGACTTCTCCTGGTGACACCAGGTCGGTGTGTGATGGCTACAAACCTGAATGTCGGCCATGAAGATCTTGCGCGTCAGACCTGGAGGCATCCCAAATGCTTATCAATCACTCTTAGTCCTCGGGAATGCCTGTTGGAGGTGTCCCAATAATCTAACTGTGTCATACAACACCACGTACCACGAATATAGCCAGGATGACGGACTGGCTCAAAACTACCGTTTGCAAACCGTTTGTAACCGTTTGTAACGGTTTCTATATCGTTTCCGTTTGGTTTTCCCAGATTCGCAAACGGAAACGAAACGGTTGGAGCCTTACCGTTCGAGCATGTGGTGGTAAATCTTTTTGGGATCTTACTAAAAGAAAAGTGAGCTACGGAGAGGCCCTTCTAGTGAATTCCGCAAATCAATTGTTTTTGAAGTCAAGATATTGAACTGGAGCAAACACATTGTTGTCCCTTCAAAAGAAAAAGGATGCTGAACGAACCCAGGCTTGATTCTGAGTTATTTGAGAGGAAGACTTATTGGTGAAATTGGTATCACTGCAATCAACGGCGCATTCTTCTTATTGGAACGGGATGCGAGTGGAAGTTCCCTGTTCAATTTTTGAGTGGGCCATGTTGATACCGTTTTTATTTTTTATGGTCTGACATTCGCTTAAAAATTATACCACTGGGCGCAAAGATCTGAAGTGGTGGCGAGGGTCTATTAGAAATTGTATCAGTCTTGAGCTTAGAGAAAATTAGAAACAAAACTCTACATCGTAGTCAAAAATTTACTAGACAAAAACAGGCTTGAGGTACTTGAGGGACGGCCTACTGGTGAAACTGGTATCACATACACCTTAAAATTGAATTGAATTTGTGTGTCAGGAATGAGATGCGCAGTGCAACCAGTTCGATTATTTCATCTTGAGGAAGTATCCCGGTCCGCAAAAAGAAAAGGTCGAGTGTGCGAGGACATACATGAGTTTAGGACGCGTGATCCATTTTGGTGGACATAGCACAAAGATGTGAAGATATAGAACCCACAGGCAGCATGAACTTGGCAAGTTTGTCGCAAGTGCTATGAGGCAAAGAACTCCTAGGGGCCAGAGCAAGAGAATACAGAGTTGTAATGTGCCAGTGTGTCGCCAGAACGTATCCAAATAATGTATGATGCGGCCTATAGAAAAAAATCTTCGCTGGAAATAATATTAATGAAATTCAAACGGCTCCGCTCGGCGCAGGCGGTAAATGCGGCCCGCCGCGCGCGTGGTAATGACATCGCGGCACCAGGAATGAAAGCGCCGCAAAACCGGTCGGATGAGCCGGGGTTCAATAAGCGCACAGTCTGGAAATATGAGCAGAGGACGCTAGATAGTGGATCGAGGAGGAAAGCACGAGGACGCGTTGTTTGTATCGAGGCGAGGACCCAAACTGATGCGGAAAACGTGGGATAGATACCAAACACAAGTGCATCGCCTCCTGTCACTCTCTCCGTTGCCACGACCTTCTGAAGAACAAGTACAGGTAGGAGCTCAATTAGTTGCTCTACTGAGCTCTAAGCTTTTCACAGGACATTCAGTACCTATGACCGACCCTCATCATCTTGACTCTCTGCTCTCTGATATGACGCCAAGTCGGAATCGAAGCGCTTCAAACGGGAGATCCACCCGGTCACATATTCGGGAACGCATGACCGACTTGGATGCTCAGGTCCTGGCACTGGAGCAAGCTCCCGAGGCTGTCAGGTTGGAGCGGCAGGACCTGCAGACACGTCTCGACGCGTACAAATACCCCATCCTTACCCTTCCCATCGAAATCACGTCCGAAATATTTGTCCACTTCCTCCCACCTTATCCCGAACGCCCACCCGCCCTTGGTCTCTCCTCCCCGCATATACTCGGCCATATTTGCCGCACATGGCGCGAAATAGCGTTCAGCACGCCGCGACTCTGGCGAGCGATCAATTTGAGTCTTCCGACGAAGTCTCCGACCAAGGCGCTGGATCTACTCAGAACTTGGGTATCACGCTCCAAAGATTGCCCTCTATCCATTTCCCTGAAGTCCTTCACTCGGCAGCTTGACATTGATTTCATCTAAGCCATCATACCCCATTCTGAGCGCTGGGAACACATTAACTTCTTCCTGCCAAAAAACTCACTTCAATTGATTGGAGCGGACTTCCCCTTACTCCGTTCCTTGACTTTGGACTCCACTACCTATGCAGGAAAGACCGACTCACTAGGTGCAATATCGCCGTTCAGTAATGCACCGCTTTTAAAGCAGGTCATTCTTGACCAGACCTTTCGGCCTTTCGAGATTCAGCTGCCATGGTCGCAGTTGACGAGCATTTACGCCTCCTCTTTGTCTCCAGCTGAATGCACCGAAATATTAAAGCATTCCGCTGCTCTTCGGGAGTTTCACTGCCAATCTCTTTGCCGTGGCGCTACCAGGGGGAGCCTATTGTCTGTGGCGCCTCTGAGGTACCTGCACTCGCTGGGGCTCCTAGACGGCTTCAAGGGTCAACGACGGCTCCTAGAAGCGCTCACCACTCCCGCTCTCCAACACCTTACGATCGAGGACGGCACAATTCCCCACGTCCATGCGCTCATTTCACGATCTCACTGTACTTTGGCATCCTTAACCGTCCTTTATGCATGCAAATCAGACGCGACCTATCGTGCAGAATTTCCTTCCATTCCCACTATTACTGCTACAAATGACAGTTTTTAATCATTTTGAAGCTTGTCAAGG